CACATTTTTTAGGGGGTGGGAATTTCTCCATGTAGCCTGGTCTGTCCTAGAACTCGCGCTTTAGATCAGGCTGGCCTTAAACTCACAGAGCTCTGCCTGACTCTGCCTCCCGAGTGATGGGATTAAAAGAGTGCCCCACCACACCTGGATCAAGAAAACATTTTAAAGAATACAGTTTTCTTTCCACAAATGCTGGTACTCACAGGGCTATCATCTGTAGAATAGGGTAATAGCCAGAATAAACTCACTGCTATTTATATGGCACTACCGTGACTAGAAAAATACTTCTGTAATTAGGGAATAGGGTAAAGAACAAGACAGGGTTGGGGATGATTTTTCAGTAAAGTATTTTTATTGAGTACTTGGGAGTTTCATATATGCCTGTGCCATATTTTGATCATGTTCATATCCAACCCCTCCCTGCTCCCCCAAGATCCAGATCCACACCTCCACCCAGTCCTTCCCAACTTTGTGTCCACAAAGACCACACAATTCCATATACTTCTGAATGTGAAGCATCCACTGTGGTTCTTAACCTGTGGGTCACAACTCCTTTGAGGGACAAGTGACCCTTTCACAGAGTTCACCTATGACCATTGGAAAACATAGCTATTTACAGTACAATTCATAACAGTAACAAACTTGGAGTTAAGAAGTCAAAAGGAAAATAATTTTATGGTTGGGGTCACCACATCTTGAGCAACTCTATTGAAGGATCACAGCATTATGAAAGTGAGAACCACTGATCTAGATCATAGTTAGCCTGCCAGGGGCCACATCCTTAAAGAAACCCACTTACCTCTCACACCATCCATCAAAAGTCACAAGATCCTGAGCCAAGGGTAAAGACCCATGAGCCCCTCCCCACTCCCCCACAGAAGAGAGATTTTTAATGATAGAAATGTGGTGTTTGATATTATAAGCTGTAAACATAAATGAATATATGATTAGCAGCTACAGTGACTAATCTTTTTGCGAATATTACTAAGGGGCAAGAAAGCAATAAATTATTCAATTGAGTGTTACTTGTCACTCAGCAACCCAAAATTAAATAAAAATAAAACAAAACCAGGTATACATACCTGATTTAGCCAATGGAGGATTAAGAATGATCTTCTGAGCTATTTCTTCTTTTTCTTCATCAAGAAGAATATTTAATAAAGTCTTCCCCACAATGTCTTCCTGGAGAGAAGGAGAGAGAACAAATTTTATTTTTACACTGAGGCTTTTAGTCTGTCCTGTCTCCTTACTACCTGTGAATTTAGCTCTGCCCTTGCCCATTTATGGCTACAGCTGCTGTGATTCAGCCAGTTTTCATTACCAGCCTGCAATTACTCCAGTCTAAAATCCATTCTGGACAGTTTTCTTGTACATTATTTTCTGCAAACAGTTGAAGTCTTCCTTATCCATCTCAGAGACCACAGACACTCTGTAATGATTACATTGTGTTCTTTCTCTCTGTGTTATGTGCTTGGAAAAAATCACAGCTCTTTATTCAAAGTGTTGTCTCAGACCTTGATCCAAGCAAGTGAATATGGATTGGAAACCCCCATACAGCCTTGCCTACCTTTGACTGTGCACTTTCTCATATTTCAATGTGAATTCTTTCTCTTTTATGCCTTCCTCAGTCTTTTGCATTGGCATAGATCTTAGTTTATTAATACAAATTTAAGGTTAAACTTGTTATATGTATATTTCTGCTCTTGTTTAAGGTACTGTGATTGTGTAGTTCACTTAAAAAATGTAAGGTATAATTAAAAATGTAGGTTAATAAATATTCATCTATAATAGTCAGGCTTGTAGTCATGTTAGTTAGATTTTCTATATGTGTAGAAATATGTTTCAGTTAGTTAAGTATTCTTCAAATCTTTCATAGACCTTCAGAATATAGCATTTAAAATGTTTAAAAACGTAAGCCTTCTCATGACAATGAGACACATCTGCTCCTGGCAGCACCAAGCTACTTCAAGAGGACGATGGGGATTGAAAAGGCTCATTATGGAGCCGGTTGACCATTTGGCAAGAAACTGCTCTTGCCTAGACTGCTTGATAAACTAGATATGCAGGATCCACAGAGAAATTACTGCTAAGCTTACCTAAAGGTGAGATGATTCTTTGGGGTTCCTGCTTCAATAAAGATTCTGCTAGACATTCTTCAGGACACAGAAGAAAGTGACTGACAAACTGTCAATATAGACAGATCTATCTTTGAAATTTCCTGTTTCTTGTAAAAGTCTGCTGAATTCTATGGGACTGTAGGCTGAAGATGGATGCCCCAATGGTACAGAAGAACTTTGGATGACTGTCCAGGCAGTCAATTCTAGAATTTTGGAAGTTGCTTACAACACACCTCCTGTTTGCTTAGGTAATATTATAGCGTCCTGGAGTCTTTGATGAAGTTGAAAATTTTATAGTTATAGTTCTCCTTAGTTATGATAAAATATAAAATGTAAATATTGTAACTGTAATTCTTGCTTGATACCTGTTTTATAATATGTAATTTTACCTTCCTTTTTATTTAAACAGGAAAGGGGAGATGATGTGGGATTTTCCTCTGTATTCTGTGATTACCATTAATTAATGAATAAAAAAACTGCTTTGTACCTATAGCAGGGCAGTACTTATCTAGGCGGGGAAAACTAAACTGAATGCTGGGAGAAAGGAGGCATAGTCAGAGAGATGCCATGTAGCCCCACTGGAAACAGATGCTGGAACTTTAGCCAGTAAGCTACAGCCCCATGGCAATATACAGATAAAAAGGGTTAAATTAATATAAAAATTAGCTAATAAGAATCTAGAGCTAATGGGCCAAGTGGTGATTTAATTCAATACAGCTTCTATGTGATTATTTTAGGTCTAAGCAGGCCAGAACATTGAGAACCGAAAAGTGGCCTCTCCAACACACTTTCAAGTCCCTAGTCCTCCGTATACTTTAATCTGGCATTGTTTATTTTGATGGGGAAAGCTTAATTCCCAATACTCTAAAGAAATACTTATTTTTCAATAAAAATGTTTTCATTGGTTCATCTATAAAATATAGTTCAAATACCCCAATAAATTTATCTCTGATTAACCTGGCCTTTCATTGATTTTTTCCCAGCAAACTAATGATTAAACAATCACCTCACTCAGACACTGTCTAAATATTAACACAAAGTGCAACTTCTTTATTCCTTACAAGTTGAAGAATTATACTCCGTTTAATTCACACTTTTTGTACTTTTTATTACATCACAACTACAACTGCCGTAAATCTAATATCCACCTGTCCTGCAAAATGTGCTACTTAAACATTCTTACAGACATTTTATATGAGGTAATTAATGTTTACAGGAGTAACTATTAGAAAAGATGAAAATTACATGAATTTTAATTTCTGAGTGCAATAAGAATAAAGTATGTCATATATGTACAAAATGTGCTAATGAGCTACACAGAATTTCAGGGTAGCCTAAACTATAGAACACTATGTATGTATATATATATATGCAAAAATGAAGAGAGAGAGAGGGAGAGACAGAGAGACAAAGAGAGATATTTTCCAAAAAGAGCCAAAAGAGCATAACATCATACTACTAGAAGAATACATCTCAGATTTTAAAAATAAATTAATTAAAAATTAAGACATAGAAAAAATAAGACCTACAATAGATGCCATAACTCAGCATGAATCAATCGTGACTTTCATTCATTGCTCAGTCACTATGTACCATTCATTCCTCAATCACTATGTAACAGACCCCACACCACATTCATCTTGGTGAGAGCTGCCTTCTCTCAAATCAGGCACTTAGAGGCTAGACACTGATTCCAAAGCAACTGCTATATCAAAAAGTACATGCTTGGCTTGTGTGGGGATGCAGACCACACTGAAAGCTGAGGCGTGTGAATCATAAGTTCTAGGCAAAATAAAAGAAAACCAGTCTTCTTTGAGAAACCCCCCAAGCAAAATTGAAATTGTGTTTTCTTACCTCAAACCAGAATTTGTTTTTATTGACTTAACACTGAAACCAATGTAGATGATGAAATGGGCATAGCTCAACACCATTGACTTATATAAAGATAAGAAGAAATAGTCCATAAACAGAAAACCAGAATGACCCTTTTTCCCAAACGCTAAAAGAACTTACTGGACGATGTCCAAGAAGAGGTGACACATTCTGCGATATAAAAACAACTTTCCCATCTGTGCTCAATATAATTGAAATGTTTTCAAATGACTAATAAAGAGAATAATAACAATTAAATAATGCAATTATAAAATGATAGTTTTATTTATAAGTGCATAAATATAACAGAATACTGGTGTATTCTATTTCTTACATATCAATGAAGTAGGCACACATTTAATTAAAAATCTATTATTCTGCCTCCTACAAAAAAAATCTCCTTAAGGTTAAGCATGAGATATTCATCAAATAATGTGTCACTTAAACAAATTTCATTGTACACCCAATTAACATCTAAGCTCTCCAACACAAGCTAGGAAGATTAATTGCTGTGTAGATTGACACATTTTAAGCATATTTAATTTTTAAATGGCTAATAATTATATTTAAGGGCACATTCATTTGTTCTTAGTCTAGTTATCTACTTAAAATATGGTTACTGCCATTACTTTTCTCTGTATAATAGATTTGGTATACAGACAAATATAAAGAACATTTAAAATGGTTTTATAAGCTACAAAATTGTTTTCAGAGTTGTTTCTATAAATTTCATTAGTGCTGCTTACAGGAGCCTGGGTGAGGAGTTCTATATAGGTGTTTTTAGTACATTTCCAGTGGCTACAGACAGAAGAAAACATCTTTCGTTCCCTTAGCAACCATTAATTGCCTAGAGACCCTTAAGAAGAGCTGAGGACTCATGAGCAGCTCTTCCTTAGCTGCTGTTAGCTATTTATTCTCAGGGAAGGGGTGTGGTCTCATGAAATCCATCTCCTCCAAGCTATGATAGAAGAAGGATAGCGTAACTGGGAGGAGGAAAGAGATCAGTGAGAAGGGGAAGTGACAAGAGAGGGTAATGGGATGCAAATTTGATCAAAATACATCATATAAATGTATAAAAAGTCATAGTGAAACTGATTATTATATGCAATCAATATATGCTAATAAAATAAACTTGTTTTCAATAGTAGAACCCAGCCCATAACAAAGTAAGGAAAACAACATGTCACAGACGACTATGAATGTAGGCACTAGGACATAAAGTGATATTAGAGCCTTAGGAAACTTGTCCATCATTGGTTACTTAGAGCTTGGAAATAGTAAAGGTTTCCCAAAAGCTGCTATCTAGAGCATGTGAAATGCCAAAAGGTTATTCAAAGGAGATGTGGATATGTGTGGGCCTTCCTCAAGTCTAAGAGGAGGAGGAAAAATAAACCTGGGCTCCATTAGGAAGTACTAATCAAACGTCCACATTCACTCAAATTTAGAGATGCAATCCAGACACTGCATGCGTGGTCTTCCACAACTCCAATCTAATATTTAATTCAAAGAAGTCCTGGTTTGAAATAAAATGAATATTTTAATAAATAGGCTCATAAAATTCATGCAGACAGATAGTTACAAATAAAGGACCTTATGGTAAAAACAAACTAGCAAACACTGGGAAGGGAAATTGATTATACACGAAGAGTGTATAGAAAAAGTCAAATGCAGAATGAGGCTGAAAAGAAAACACTGGAATTTACAGACAAGAAAAGAGTGCTAAATATAGGAACACAGATAACATGGATTTTAAAAATTTGAATGACTCAAAACTGATCAAAGATATGAAACATAACAACTGTTCTTTAAATGAAATTATCATAAAAATATCAATTCAGGAGCTGAGATTATAGTTCAGTGGCAAAACATTTCCTTAGCATATATGAGGTCCTGGGTTTCATCTTCAGCATAAAGGAAAATAAAACATTAATGCAGAAGTAAAATTGCATGGTAAAACACAGGAGAGCTTGGGCATGTGCTTATGTTGGTAGAGTTCTTGCCATCTGCATAAGTCCCTGGTACCTAAGCCCAGTAACAAAAAAAAAGCAAATATTAATGGAAAGGGCCTAAAACTGAAGACAAGACTCTGACTACAAGCTTTAAGACAGTTGTGAAGGAATGTAAATACCTGTGTGTTGTCAATGAGAGGTTAAAATGAAGAAGTTGTGAAAATCTATATGGCCAGTCCTCAATGTTAGAGAACACCATAGACTCTGGTGTTTCTACTCCTGAGCATACATAAGAAAGAATTGAAAGCAGCACCTCAAATAGCTCTGTTTACCCATCCATGTTCTCAGCAGCATTATTCACAATGGCCAAAAGTTGGAAGCAATCTGCTATGGTTTGGTTGTGGCCGGTCCTCCAAGCATTCGCACATCAGAAGCTTGTTCTGTATTGCACAGTGTGAGAGGTGGTAGGGTCTTTAAGAGGAGAGGCCTAGGTGGGAGGTCACTGGTTATGTTCCCTTATTAGTAATTAATTTAGTTCTTCTGGGACTGTGGTTAGTTTCTAATAGGTGGTTGTTACTAGAAGACTGGTGATTCCTCCCCACTCTCTGGCTTTCTGTCTTACAAATATGATTGCTCCTTATCACAAGCTACCTCCACTGTGAAGACAGTTTCATCAAAAAGCCATCTCACAAATGACATAGTCAAGGGACCATCAACAAAGGACACAGAATTTCAAACTTGCTGCTAAATAAGCCTCATTTCTTAGAAGGAAGTTATGCTCTCCACTATCCCACCAATGCTACAACAAACCTCTTGTCTTTACATAGTTCCCCAGCTCAACTGTTTGATTTAGACAGAGAAGTATTACTCTATAGTCCAAGCAGATGACAGACAAAAAGGCTCTGAAAACTTTAGTATAACATGTAAGTGACTATCATTCAGCCTTTAGAGAGAATTCAGTCACCAGCTACAACATGAATGGACCACATAAATATTTTAGTGCATGAAATAAACCACTCAGGGAAAGAAGAATGAAGTGGAGAGCAAAATGTAAAGATACAATATAGATTTTTTAATAAAGAATAAAAAGTCTATTATTTGAAAAGAACAATACTGGGAACAAACCGCTGATAAAGTGATTTGCATAGTGAAAAGCACAACCCTTTTAAAAATGTTTCTGTTTTATACATATGAGTGGTTTGTTCCTCTGTGTGCATGTGTGTGTGTGTGGTGCCAGAAGAGGGCAGTAGACTGTGTCAGATCCCCTGAAACTTGAACTACTGATGCTACTGATGGTTGTGAGCTGCCATGAGGGTGCTGGAAATCAAACTGAGATTCTCTGCAAGAGTAGCCAGTGCTCTTAACTGTTCATTTCTCCAGGTCCACAAATAATGTTAAAATAAAAAGTAGATATCATTACAAAAGCTTCAGCTGTAACAAACATGACTAGAACACATTACCATCAATTTTATACCAGTAAAATTGAAAGTGATGGGATAGACCAATTATTAGGAAATATAATTTACCAAAGATAACTCATGAAATGTAGAAGATTTGAATCATAACATAATCATTAAAGAACTGAAAGATAGTTTCAAATAGTCTTGTATTACCTGCTGTGGTTTGAAACTGGGTTGAGTGTATCATTACCAAAGCTAACAACTGACAAGTCCCACAATCATTATGTATTAGTCAAAACTTGGATGCTACTTTTATTGGTGTCAGGGTATTGAATGCAGTAATCTGCATATGCTAAGCAAGTGTTGTGAATGAACCACACCCACAGCCTCAATTTAAATTAAAAAAAAAAACTCCACTTTTTTCATGAGTCAAAATAATGAAGACAAGTTATTAACATCTCACAGAAGCTAAAAGGTGGTAGAGGAGAGAAATAAGCATAGTTTCACTGTGCACTCCAAAATGTTTGAATATACATTTGGCTTCACAAAACTATTGCCAGATTTCAAACGATACATTTTGAGACCTCTTAACACAAATTTCAGTATATGATCTCTAAACCAAATTTTCTTTTTAATGAACGTGCTTGAAAGGATAAAAGATGTTCCCATGTGACTTAGGTTTTCATCCAAGAATATTTATTGTTATAATACTTGTAGTGTTATTTGAAAGCATATATTCTTCCAGCTATGCTTTGAAAAGTGCTGTAGTGCATCTAGCATCAACTGTGATCCGCATGTAAAAGTAAGCAATGAACAAAAGCACTCTTACCCGAAGAACTGTCTTATGAAATTCCTCATAGGTTTGGAAAATGGGAACTTCTTTTCGGTCATAGTTGACTACCATATTTAATGCTCCTTTTAGGGAAAGGAAGGAGAGGTGTTGTATTAATAATAATTAGAAATTGATATTATACTCTGCAAACTTGTAATTTAGAAAAAAATTCATTTTATTATTTTGTGAATATATTGTGTGGGGGCATGTCCTATAGCTCATTTTTGGACAACTTTTAGGATTTAGTTCTCTTCTGCCACACATATGTGGATTCTGAGGATTGAACTTAAGTTTATCCACTGAGCCATATTTCTAGACGAAAGTTATAATTAATATTATCAAAAATACTCCAACTGCGGTGTACCAATTCTCACAAACAAAGAAATGATGGAATTGAAAATCACTCAAATTACAGGTTTCCTTTGGCTTCTGTCAAAACTCAGGATCCAAAATACATCAAGTCAAGAGTTCTACATAGACCCATACTACCAGTCCCTAGGTAAATACTGGAAGTCCACTCTTTTAATTTCTGGACAAAGGCGTTTCGCTGGAGGATCTTCAACCTCAACAGTTGTCACTGTTTTCCATCCTTTTTTTCTGGTTTCCTCAGGGAGAAGCACAGCTGCTCCTTCTCACAGCCCTACCACCCACCCCTCTTCCTTGACCTGAAGCAGTAAAGGAATTCAGCAACATACCCTCCTATCTCAGGGTTTTACAACGATAAGAAATAGCTCCTCTACACAACCCACAAGAAAAAGAGAAATACTCGAGGGATACAAGCCTTGTGCTGGGTGATTTTGACCTGAGGGCAGGAGTCTCACATCTTTATCTTGGACAATGTTCTGGTGGGCAGATGAGCTCCTGTCCTCACTAAAGAGGCAATGAGGTGTGCAGCATCGGGGCAGTGGGATGAAGAGTGGTAGCACCTATAACCTTGTTGATGAGGATTGAAGAAGAATGCAGTGTGAGGGAGTGGACAAAAGGACTAACAAATATTTGGGGAGGTTTAGCCATAGAGAGGGCACAGAAACAGAGAAACTCATAGAGGCATACCTGGGTCAGGAAAATTGTCACTTCACCTAAGATTAGGAAAGTTTGATTAAATGCTTATGGGTATAAAGCCAACTTATGTCCTTAATTAAATGTGTCCCATGATATAAGCATCATAAGATAGGTTCACATAAATGGACTTTATTAATTTCCATATATGTTTCTAGTAAGTTTCACTCTTGAACAAGCCTCGGGAATATTTTATGCGTTAAAGATAAAAACAAACAAAAACTCAAAGATTTGTGAATGGAGATAAACAAACTGCATATGCAAAGGTACTTCAAGGACACCTCCAACCAATACTATATCCCTTAAGACACTTGAAGCATTGTGAGGGCTGCGAGGCTTTCATGTCAGCAATGGCACACAGAAAAAAAAAATGGGTCTAAGTCAAACCTCTTGGATTAGAAGGAGCAGCCGGAATGGTTGTCTGACATTTCACAGAGCGTGCTCTGGGTCTCCGTCTAGAGGCTCCATATTCAAGACTATCCACCATTCTCTGAAGTATATTCAGCAAACTGCGACGATCCTTATATGTTAGCCTATGGCGTGGATTAAAGGCCACCCTAATCAACAGAAAAATAGAATGATCTTTATGAATGGTAAGGCAGAGGCATATGATTCATTCATACGGTGCCTCAATAGGAGGACTAAGATGACAGAAAGACAGACTTTTGTATGAATTAAACATCCAGTGTCTTCATTATACAAAATAAAACTACCATGGCAGATTATATCTGCAAATGGCCTTAATCCCAATACTCAGGTGGGGCGGCAGGAGGATCGTGGGTTTGAGGTAAGTCTTGGAATAAATTGAAAGAGCTACTCTTTAAAATAAATAGTAAATGAACAAGCAAACAAACAAACCATGTTTCTATTTAAAACAATGAAATTAAATTCAATGTCATTGACCTTTGTCTGCAAGGCTCTTAAAAGTGGCGACCAATCTATTTTTTATGTCTTCCCAGCGCAGCCCAACACTATGCCTGGTGTTATGGTTTGGCAATTACTTAATATAAATCTAAATTAGCTTGAGTGTAATGGTAAGTTGTTGATAAGTCTGTTCTCACCTACTTTAATAACAGTAATTCTGACTAGGTGTTCCAATGCAATTTGATCTGTAAGAATAGAAAACCCAAAAAAGAAGTCCAAATTTCTCTCAAGAGAGTCATCCTTCCCTAGGAAAGACTATTTGGCTAGATGTGAAATAAGAAAAGGGGGAAGGGCAGAAGGCTTTGCCATCTACATCAACTATGAATTCCTACCTCCTTTTCTTTTGACGTCGATATCGACTCATTTTTCCATCAGGTATGGGTAGATTCTAAAACAAAATCAGACCAATGTTTTATTGAGCAATCATATTTCTATAGTCTATAGCATATACCTGTGCTATATCTGTCACCTACCAACTTTCTATCCTCTATTCTGTCTTCTCTCACCTACAACCCATCTTCTATATGTTATCTCTCAATTATCTACCATCTTTCTTTCAGTCATCAATTGTCTATATCGTTTATTTTTTACATATCATTATCTATCTATCCTCTCTCATCTATAAACCTATTATCTATCTTCTATCATATATTGTATTTCTATCATATATCATCCATTTGTCTTCTTGCTGTCAACTCTGTCTAAACTCTGTCATCTGTCTATATATGTGTATAAATCCATCCTCTATTTTCTATCTGCTATGTATTTATCATACCTGTACTCCTCATTTACCTATATAGTATCTACCTTCTATCTATCTTCTATCTATCTACCATCTATCACTTATCTTTTATGGTCTATATTTTACACTATATATAACCTTTCTCATGAATTTATAGTGATCATCTAGCTATGCACTATGGTCAAGCCATCCTGTGTTTCCTACCTCTTAGTTCACAGCAACAATCTATCCTCTAACTAACCTGTATCTATCTTTCAGCTATTATCTTCTATCTATAATCTATCACCTACCTTTTCTGTGTTTACATTCAATGTATCATTTATACCTCTTTGACCCTGTGTCTAATTTCCATCTATTACTGCTGAACTACCTATATCATATCTTTCTCTGATCTATTATCTTTCATCTATCATTCATTTTCTATCCTTACTAAGTCTTTGCTCCATCTATTATCTTCCATTTAACTACTGTCTATTCTCTATATATCCTTTGTCTATTATCCATCTCCCATATTTCTGAAATCTGTTATATATACATCCTGTGTCTATATTCCATCTATTTCTTTCCTGTAACTCTCCTGTATCTATCTACTTATATATATATATATACTCTCTAACTATCCTATGTCCATTTTTGTATCTATTCTATAGTTATCCTGTACCTATCTTGTACTGATGGGCCACTTACATTTTTGTGCCTACTTTATCTCTACTATCATCCACCAATCAGTCATCTATCCTCTACATATGCTGTCTTCAATATGTCTATTGTCTATTTTCTCAAAATCTGGTATCTTCCTTCTATCCAACCAGCATCTATCTCATATCTGTCCTGTGTCTGTCTTTCATCTATCAATTCTTTACCTTATTACTATCCATTATCTATCCTGTAGATGTCCTATCTGTCTACTACCTACTCTTTATCATATCACTACCCTGTATCTATCTTCCATCCATCATCAATTCTTTCGCTATCCTGTCTTTACTATACTACTGTTTATCCTCTAGGTATCCTGTATTTTCCACGTATCATTTATCCTCAGGCTCTCCCTGTGTCTATTTTCCTGTTATTATTTTCACCTATCTCTCATCTATGCTATAGGTATAGTGCATTTATCTTCCATTTATTTATATTCTCACATCCAGATATACTATATATTCCAACTTTCTGTAGTATATCCTCTAATCATCCTGTCTATACCTTCCATTAATCAATAATCTATACTCTAGAAATCACATGTCTACTTTCCACTCATCTATCTTCTAGCTATTCTTTTTCCTATCTTCTCTCTGTTATCTATCATCTCGCTTTCCTGTATCTCATCCATCTACCATCTGTCCTTTCTTCTATACATCATCTATCTCATTCTGTGTTTATTTTCTATCGACCTATCACTATTTTCTAGCTATCTTGCATCTATCTGTCATATAAATATACTTTATCAATAGTGTCTATCTTTCATCTTCCTATGATCTACCCTTCAGACATGCTGTAACCATCTTCCATCTATCATATATCATCTTCTAGCTATTTGAATCTATCTATCTATCTATTCCATATATCTATCAAAAAACTCAACTGTTTATGTCTTCCATCTATCTATTTTTTATCCTCCAGCTAACCTGTATTTACTGTCCATCTATCTATCATCAATCATCTAGCTATCATATATCTACCACCTATCATCATACCCTATATTTCTGTTCCATCTTTCTATCATCTATCCTCACCTACCACTTTTGTGTCTATCTGTCATCCAACTTCTAGCTATCCTGTATCTATCTTCCTTCTAATTATCATCTTTCCTTTACCAATCCTTTGTCTTTATTCCATCTATCTTTTAATCTCTAGCTACCCTGTGTCTCCACTTCCATCTAGCTATCCTCTACCTCTTTGGTCTCCTTTTCCTATCATTCATCTTTTTATCATCTTTCCTTTATTTATCATTTATCTATTTTCCATATATCTGTTTTCTAGCCTCTAGTTAGTCTGTGTCTGTTGATCATCCATGTATCACTATTCTTTAACTACCCTATACTTCTCTTCTACCTCTCATCTAACTTCTAGCTATCATATGCCTATCTTCCATCGTTTTAGTCATATTTTTGTCTATATGGTGTCTATCATCCATCTATCTATTTTTTATCTTATATCTATTCTGTTTGTCTTCAATCTGTCTATCTTCTACCCTCTGGCTATCCTGTGCCTGTCTTCCATCTATCCATCATCTATCCTCTAAGTATCCTTTGTCATATTCTTATATCATTTATCACCCAGCTACCCTGCATCTCTGTGATCCAGCTATCATTAATCCTATAGCTACCCTGTGCCTGTCTCCCATCAATCTATCAGCTATCCTCTAGCTATCTTGTGTTCTATACCATCCATGTATCATTTATCATCTAGCTGCCCTAGATCTCTGTGATCTATCTATCATCAATCGTCTAGATTTTCTGTAACTGTCTTCTATCATCTATCTATCTATCTATCTATCTATCTATCTATCTATCTATCAGCTGTCCTCTAGCTATCCTGTGTTCTATACCATCCATGTATCATTTATCATCTAGCTGCCCTAGATTTCTGTGATCTATCTATCATCAATCGTCTAGATTTTCTGTAACTGTCTGCTATCTATCTATCTATCTATCTATCTATCTATCTATCTATCTATCTATCTGCTGTCCTCTAGCTATCCTGTGTTCTATACCATCCATGTATCATTTATCATCTAGCTGCCCTGGATCTCTGTGATCTATCTATCATCAATCGTCTAGATTTCCCATAACTGTCTTCCATTTATCTATCCTTCATCTGTTTCCTAGCTACCCGGTGTCTGTTTCTCATCTATCAACCACCTATCCTCTAGCTTCCCTGCATCTCTCTACCATCCATGTGTCATTTATCTTTAATTACTCTGTATCTATTTTCCACCTTTCTGTCACCTATCCTGTATCTATCTCCATCCACTTACCACCTATCATCTAGATATCCTATCTTCCACTGTTATTACTTTTATCCCTAGCTATCCTATATCTCTCCTCTATCATTTATCTACCTAACTTCCATCTATCTTCTTTCTTCTATACCCGCATTCTTCAGTTTCTCATCTATTCTTTCTTAGTTATTCATCTTAGTTCATCCTTCATGGTTTTATACTAGATAACCATCATGATAAAACTTGTCAGTATTTAAAAATACAGCCAGTCTGGCCCTATTTGCCAATGTATGATATGTGTTATTAGAAAGAGTGAACTGTGCTATAAACAGTATCACTTGAGAAAATGAGAGATATTTCATAAAGATCAAGTTAGAAAACTAAGCTTAAAGACCACATATAGGTATACACTTTGACTATACAACTTTAGACTAAACTAAACACTGATATTACTGAAATAGTAAATTATCAAATTCACAGTTTACATTTGGTGAGTTCACCATCACTGTCTCAATGACTGGCACAAGATTAAACAGAAAACAACCCAAGATTTTTGCCCTTACAGCACAGCACCAACTGCCTTCACCTTACCTTACCAGCCACTTGAAGTCAACTGCTCTTATGTTTACCGTATCCGGGCAACAATAGAATACACACTGCCTATGCGATTGGCTGAGAACATAATACCTGCTGACTGTGATTGGTCCTAAGAGCCAAGGCTGTGACTGGTCAAAGCACAAGTTTAAATGACTCTGGTCTCTTTTAAGAGCAAGGCTGTGATTGGTCAAAACACAAGTTTCAATGACAGTGATTTCTGTTAAGAGCAAGGCCGTGATTGGTCTAAAAATATAAACTTCAGTAACTATGATTGGTCCTATGTGTCACTGTCATGATTTATACAAAAACTTAATCATTATGAATGTGATTGGTGGTAAGTGGCAAGGCTGTGATTGATCTAAAATATAAGCCTCGATGAGCATGACTGGTTTTACAAAAGAAAGCAGTTTGGTTCAATGAGTAGCAAGGGAGACATTCATCAGTTACTGCCTTTTCTGGATTGTAGCACCAGGCCAAATGAAAGGTTTCTTTAAGTGATCTTTTAAATATATCTATGTCCGAACATATTAATATATTTTTTTGTAATTTTTTTCCCTGTGTACCATGTGCATGTCTGGTACATGTAGAGGTCAGAAGAATTGTGGAATCTCCTAGAACTGCAGTTACAAATAGTTGAGAGCTGTTATGTGGTTACTGGGAACCAAACCTGGGTCCTTTGGTAGAGCCATAGAACTATTTCTCCATCCTTCTCAAGAGATGTTTTCTTGCCTTTTTTTCATAATATAAGATTGTAGCCAAGGAATAAATCCTCAGAGGCAGGAAAGCGACAGAAGAGGCAGCAGAGCAGCAGTGGCAGTTGAGGTATCAACAGATTGAATTGTGGGTTCATCAAGGCAGTTGTCTGCACAGCTACAGAAGGAAAGTAACTGAACAGTTCAAGAGTGGCAGAAGAAGAGAAGCATCAGGAAAGGGAATAAACCTGAGGGTGTATAAGGGTAGAGACTTGCTAAGTATCATACAGAAGAAACAACTGTCTCTGGACACCAGAAAAGTTACATAGAGCAATCAAGTCTTTAGGTCAAAGGTGTTCCCAGTCTTGGGCTAAGAGCTCTAATGCTCGTTTGTATTAATAACTAAGAAATCCCCACTCGGCGTTCGGCTGGGGCGGCCTGGCCCACAATGAATGGTCGCCGCGGCTACCACTGCTGCTGAGGCGGAGGCCACGGAGGCCACAGAGGCAGAGGCCGAGACACAGTGGGGCGCGCCCCGGGCCCAGGCCCGGCCCCAGCTGCCGCCATGGCGCAGACCCTGCAGATGGAGATTTCAAACTTCGGCAACAGCATCCTCGAGTGACTCAATGAGCAGCGGCTGCAGGGACTATACTGTGATGTGTCAGTGGTGGTTAAGGGCCATGCCTTCAAGGCCCACGGTGCTGTGCTGGCCGCCAGCAGCTCCTATTTCCGGGACCTATTCAACAGCAGCCACAGTGCTGTGGTGGAACTGCCAGCCGCCGTGCAGCCAGTCATTCCAGCAGATCCTCACATTTTGCTATACAGGCCGGCTGAGCATGAACATGGGGGACCAGTTCCTGCTCATCTACACAGCCGGCTTCCTGCAGATCCAGGAGATCATGGAGAAGGGCACCGAGTTCTTCCTCAAAGTTAGCTCTCCAAGTTGCGACTCCCAGGGCCTGCACCCGGAGGAGGCCCCATCCTCAGAGCCTCAGAGTCCTGTAGCGCAGACACTGGGCTGGCCAGCCTGTAGCACGCCACTGCCCCTTGTGTCACGGGTCAAGACAGAACAGGAGTAGGACTCCGTGCAATGTACACCCATGGCCAAGAGGCTATGGGATAGCAGCCAGAAGGAGGCTGGAGGCAGTGGTAGCAACAATGGCAGCCGCAAGATGGCCAAGTTCTCCACACCAGACTTGGCCCCAAACCGGATGCCCCAACCTGTCTCAGTGGCCACAGCTACAGCAGCAGTGGCTGTGGTTGCAGTGGGGGGATGTGTGAGTGGACCCAGCATGTCAGAGCGGACCAGCCCAGGTACCTCCAGTGCTTACACCAGTGACAGCCCTGGCTCCTACCACAATGAGGAGGACGAAGAGGAAGATGCAGGTGAAGAGGGTACAGATGAGCAGTACCGTCAGATCTGCAATATGTACACCATGTACAGTATGTTGAACGTTGGTCAGTCAGGTAAGTGCCACCCGCGTGCGTGCGTGCGTGCGTGCGTGTGTGTGTGTGTGTGTGTCTTTCTGTCTGTATGTGTGTGACATGAATATACTTGCCCTTGTTTCCACAGCTGAGAAAGTAGAAGCCCTCCCTGAGCAGGTGGTCCTCGAGTCCCGAAGTCGCATCCGGGTACGACAAGACCTGGCATCTCTCCCAGCTGAACTTATCAACCAGATTGGCAACCGCTGCCACCCAAAGCTCTATGATGAAGGTGACCCCTCTGAGAAGCTGGAGCTCGTGACAGGTGTGCTGACTGTACTTCAGTCCCTCCAATCCCTTGGCTCTGCAACCTCTGGTCTCATGTCACAGTCATTACAAACTAGCTGTCTACCTGTGTGTCCCAGGGCAGCTGACATCCTCAATTCCCATTTGGACAGCAGTTGGTAGCAGCTGTCCAGACGAGAAGTGTTGAATTAGATGGGTTTGGTCTGGGGACTCCTTACCTAGCATACATAAAGCCCTAGATTCCATACCAGGCACTACATGAACTTGGCATGATGGTACACATCTATAATTTCAGTACTCAAGAGGTCGAGGCAGAAGAGTCAAAAGATCATGGTTGGCCCTGGTTATGCAGCAAATTTGAAACTAGTCGGGATACATGAGACCATGTCTCAAAAAGGAGTCAAAAAAATTAGTTGAGCTTAAGGTGGGGTATGACTCAGTGTACAGAACCAGCATGCTAGAGAGATCCCAAGTTTTGTTGGATTTTTTTTTTTTTTTTTTTTTTT